TTACATACATCGATCGAATGCCCTCTGTGAGCAGAGTATATAAGTTTTATGCAACTGTCAATTTCTGAGTGTATATTTTCGTTTCACGATATGCTGTGTCGATTACGCGAGGTCATTAAATTAGCGTGCGTCAGTGTCATCGCTAAAAGGCGCGGATTTGAATTTCTGGAACTTTCAGAATTCCATCTCTGCCCTTTAATGGCAAATTTTATGTGTAAGCTTTCCACTGACAGATAACAAGATGGGTGAAGTCAAATAATTGATACAGGAGCATCTTACATCACTCACAGAGAGCGCTCCATTTATTTATAATACGTGGGGATAAAGAGAGTTTATGCAGATGATCAGCATCCAGCCATGCCTATTCAAAACGGCTACAGCGATGACAGCACCCGCCGCCCTACGCTCAAACAGCGTGCACCAAAATGTCCCATTCAATCCCAACTAGTGTCAAAATAGAAATTAGGACAAATTTCCTACCGCTTATTTTCGCGCCAAAGAGACGCTACCATATGCCCTATTGCGATAGAACTGTTGTAACTGTTACGTGGGCATACCACTGATCAGATTACTGGTTTTACTTTTACGCCTTCGTAACAAAGTATTGCACACTGTGCCGTTCTTGCGCAAACTGAAACGACTTCAAGCAGATGCACATATAATGTCAAACGTCGCAAAGGCTTGCACAGTGTCCGTAATTCTTTGAATCGCCTCCGCCTATTTCCGTACTCAGTCAGAAACAAGTGCGCGTTTTCTCGAAAGCTTGATGAAGTTACTCACTCTCCAAGCAAATGAGCTATGCGCTTTCCTGGTTACAGAATTCAGAAGTAAAACAGTTCATCTCGGAACGGAGATTCTTCCTGACAATGCTCATCTTTTACATCCAGGTATTTAGCAGCGTCTACCAACAGCAACCGCAAACCTGCTCAACGTATATCTCATGCAGAAGCAGCATCGAAAAGTCTCGATGATCAAAGAACCCGACTATAGTGAGAGGCCTTACCGATCATGGGATACAAAAGAAATTTTTGTAACAGACTGTGGATAAAATGACGCCAACCAGTTTTCTCCTCACTTTCTTGTAACTCTTTTACTGCATAGATACAATGATGCCTAAGCCGAGAAAACTTGCCGTGTTCTTCCTAAGACACTTAAAGAATTGAATTAACCGCACTGACTGAATTTTACCGCAACTGCTATATTACTGCCGCTAGAAATATGCACCGTACCTATTACAGCGGCTGATACTTGCCAATATTGAACGTACCGTTGCTGCTTCTAGCAGTATAAGTACTATTATGAAAACTTGTTACTAATATGGATAACATAGCCATTATTACCCATGCAACTGGTTCGGTTCAATACACAGTCGCAATCCTTATTACAGTCGCTTCTGTTCAAACACTACTTTAAAAATAAAATGGCCCAAGTACTAATCAGGTCTTAGGGTTCTTATGTCATTATCTGACATACTCCAGTGTAAGAACGTATTTTGATGTCATTGCGGTAGTGTATGGAGCACTAGCTTATGTGAGATCGTTCGTAATGAGTGGGAGTGCCTCTAGCGAACAAAATGATGCGCGATGCATTTGGCGCTGCAGGTGCTTAGATACCATGGAGCTGTTGCCTGCTTAAATGCCCTCCCAGTCAATTATGCGCAGGGGACAGTGCAATATTCCGTGGAATCTGAATTTGAAGGAACTCCACGTTTTCTGGCTCACGTAGTTTAGAGATCAAGGTGGTTACGTCTAAATTATCCGGAAATAGATTACACGCCTCAGAGGTGACATACCTTCAGAAAGCATTGTACATGGACAAAGTATGAAAACCAGATTTTTCTCTTCCTGTTTCCTCACCTTTGATTGCCAGGCAATTGCGCAGTGCTACTCCAAGTTTGGGCAAGGCTTCGAATGGTTTTGGAAACAACATATTGTATATCGAAGACATTATTTTCCATTTAGCTGACATACGCACAGTGAAGTAATACAGACTATAGGATTATGCGAGCCGCGAGAGGTTGGTCGCTAAATTAAACAAGCGTTCATTCATGAACTTGAAGATCCGCTTTTAATGGCATGTACTTTACGAAATAATTCGGTGCAAAATTCTCGAACTTCCTTTGATAGTCTTATTGGCTACATATTTCCTTAAGCCATGGGGATTATAAGAAGAATAATGTAGATTACTCTCAGCATGTGTTTTCCTTCCGCACTGCTGATAAATATTTTAACTGGTTGTGTTTCACTAGCACATCTAAGAACGGTAACTGTCATTTTCGTTTTCAATAGCAGACACATCTAAGCCCGGAAAGAAGCTGTTTCAGTGTTTAGAATCAGATTTGTAATTAGCTTTAAAAATTATAAAGTATGCTTGGGAAGGAGGAAAACAAAAGATCTCCAGTTGCTAAGGCTGAACGTGAAGAAAACAAGCCACTGTGCAACATACTGTAATGTTATTAACATTCTGCAAAATTAATTTGTTAACTGATGGGAAGAATGAAAGGTAACACTCCCCAAAAACCCAATACCTCGTCCACAAAATCAAGGAAGCGTTGTTTGTTCATAGATCTGACTGTGCAAATCGCAGATCTGAATTAAATGTCAGTGCAATAAATGGGTCGAAAATATGAAGCGATCGAGAAGAAGGAAACGTTCGGAACGGTGAATTATACCGCATTAATTTGGTCAGTGTAACATTACAGTGCACTTGATTCATTGTTGCTTTGAAAATGATCTTTATTCGCGACAATTTTTTTTGTGTAACCCTTACTAATCATGGTACTGAAAAAAACTCAAGCAACAATTGCCCAATTTTTTCTGTCGTAATGAAAGGCAATCGGCCAAGAGAAGGTAGGGCATTGATTTCGTATTAGAGATAGCTGATCTATCAAAACGTAGTCAGTAACAGGACTTTCAGGCATGTCCGCATTTGCCCGCATTTTCTGAACGAGTGATATTAAATAACTAGAAAACTTAACTCAAAATTTTCACTCACATTGAATTCCATTTTTTAACAGTCACTGAAAGAGATATCCTTTAGACTCTAGCAACAGCGAATTACAAGAATTCATTGCGAAAATCAGACACGCAAAATAACACGTTAATCACTAAACTTAACGATTTACCCTATGATCTGATTCTTGTACTCGGTTGTCAGATAAGGCACTTTCGAACTGCCGTCGGCCAGGCGTCTGGGTGCTGCATCGCCGACGTTCAGAGCCGACAAAGGCCAGTGATTGAGTCTGCTAATGTCCGGCTGAGAAATACTGCTTCGGGGAACGTCTTCCGGCTTCACGAACTCTGAAGAGGTAGCATTACCATATCCAGGTGACTGATACCTATAGTATGAACATTAGTTAAAGAGATTAGCGTGCTGGACGCAGAAACGATTACTGCGGGTTATTTTTCGCAAAACAGTGATGGTATAGAGGAGGAAGTTCCGAAGAAATCTTTGACGGCGTGTCGGGGAACACGGCTGGTAGAATGCTTCCAGAAGGAGGGACCTTTGCCAGAGCGCCTGTTGAACTGGCAGCCGAAGAAGACGTTGTCGCTGGGATCAACTGACCAGACACCACCTCACGAACAAGCTGTTTGACAACCTACAACAAACCATATGAAACACCCAACATTTCGCCGGACATAAATTCACCTGACACTCGTCCGGTATCGCAGACGGAATAACTGCTTCGTGTACACCAAACGGGGGCACTGCTTGTACTGCACGCACCTCCGGACTACGTCGATTGGCAAATCGATTTGAGTCTACCATCGAAGCAATCGCTGCTTGATACTGAGGTGGAGAGAGTACGTGACTGGAAGGGACAGCTGGGTTGACGTTAGCCGTAGCCGACGTTTTTAAATCTCGTATCCCGTGAGTTGAGGAAACTCTCACAATCGGCCTCTGCTGCTTGGAAAAATAGTTATCCGGGGGTAGTTCTGAAAAATTTGAGACTATGTTCTGAATTTGACCTGGAGAAGTCATGTCTGAACATTGTTAGTAGAAGATGGACAACCTAGTTCAACCTAAAACAGGCAACTGAGCGAAATCCACAACACAGTAACAAAGAAAACGATATTGTCATACAAAATGTCAAAAATACGCGAACACAACCTTCTCGATAAGATAAGGCCAATAACAACATAGACTGCAAATGCATCCTAACATACCGATTCAATATTCTCACTGGTACTTCATCTCAATTTAGACTGATCAACATGAGCTTGTTTAGGATACTTCGAAAGGCAAACACGGTATATCAAGTACCTATTCATTATGCTTTCTGCTTAAAAATTTAAAAACAGCATTCGTCGTGACAAAACTGACCGGATTAGGATGTGGTCTGGCGTCTCATAACAATAAGAAAGTGTCTGCATCAGGTAAAGCACGGAAGGTTGGTGTCAATGTTCATTATAACTACTTGCTTATAAACGCCGATCAGAAAATCTGCGACACTGAAGTTTCGAAGCTTAGTGAAGATGCATATGTAGCTAGCTACTCCTTAATGATGAACAGCGTTCGAAGCCAAGTGCATCGAACAAATTCAACCGCCTAACCAGTCAACAACACATCAAAATAAATAGTAGCGAAAAACGGCAACGACGTGATTTCCTAGGTTGCAGGTTCACACCGAAACGAAAGGGCTTGAATTTTAAGTTGCGCTGCAAGCTGGGTAAGTAATGCTACGTGTGTGCGTGCTTGTGCTAGTTGAGACCGTGAGCCCTCTGCATAAGCAATCCGTGATATTTACTGGATTAAAACATTTACTACTTATGCTAAAGTGCTTCTCAGCAGTTTAGCTCTAAGACACCGGCGACTGTATCGAACAAGCAAACATTCCTCTCCGAAGGTACATCCACCGTCCACATCTCTCTATCTGCTACTCCATATTGCAAGCTGTCCGACGCCTGCCATTTTTCGGCTCCCACCCGAGAAGCACGCGGGATAAACTAAATGGCATGTGCTGAATCAATTCCTCTAGCGGGACCAGTCTTATTTTCTTGATCTCCACTCTGCAGAGATCACCTGTGCCCGGAAGAAAATAGTCACTCATGATGCTGTACCGCCATTTAAACCTTACTATTTGTCGAAGACAACGCTGCTGTTCGCAGTTCAACAGTCAAACGAGTTGCATAAATCTGACACAATTAAATTCGTGAATAATGGTTCCTGCCAAGAGAAAAAATATCATGGTCCATTGTCTGTCTGAAGGTCGACTTCGCACTCACACAAAGGTGAAGCCCGTATGACAAAGAAAAATGAAATACAGATTCCAAAAAGTTGAAGGATGTGAAAAAACTGCAAAACTATCAGCAATCAAGCAGTACCCGTGGCACGACTTTGCGAACAATAAGCCTTAAATAGTTCTACTGTAATTACTTTCAAGCCTTGACTGTGAATGGATGACGAAATGATCAGAGGTAGTCAAGTACATCACGCATTCAGGAGTAATATCATATTTCAGGTTAATATTCTAAAAAACATTAATGAATTTTTCCTTTCTGCCGTCTTCATTCTAGACGGAGAATAAAGGCTCCTGGCCTGCATCTAAAGAACAGACGCGACCATGCGAATGAGTCTAGAATCGAAGTGAATAGCGTTGATTTATTGTCCTAGACTGGCAAAAATTCAAGGAAAATGAGTCAGGTTCAAGAAAAAACGTGTACTTGTGCATTATGACGTCGAATCTAGAGAGTGGATAGCATTAACCATATTTCATTCATCTGCAATACTCTCTATTCCTTTCGGGTTGCGAGAGTGGCTGCTTCAGGAGGACTTTTCAACAGCGTTGGCCTGCAGCCGGCATATATAAAGGTTCAGTGTCCGAAAACATACTACAGTAAATTACACAAACAGTACTGTGTTGTCTTTTAATACGACAACCGGCGTATAATCACATTCCTCTACAAGCACAGAAATTATAATTTACTTTACTTGATACTTGCAACATATGCACCGCCTATGCAAAACCTTGCCACATACTGACGGGGATTCTTCTAAAGCATTAAAATATCCATTTCAGCGTTTCGTTCGTCATATCAAAGACAGCCTTTCAGGGGTTTTACTGTATAAATTGTCGTTTTCTTATGTGCAGGAATGTTCGTAGCGGCGAGATTCACATCAGTGGCAATCACACGGCATTCGAGTCGTTATTCTTGACAGATCGACATGATTGATACTAAGTCAATCAAACACTGACCGACAGCGAGATTTGTGGCCACATTGAACAGATAAACTATCCTCGAGAGCATCGAACGGGCGAATTTTGTTCTATTGCGCCTGATCTACTGTGCAGTCCCTTATTTTTTGTCCTGGGGACATGAGAGACATGCGGTAAATCCAAACGTCAGTTTCGCTTTATGCGACTTGATACAATTCCCACATCTGCCAGCCTGAAGGTGAAATTTTTGAAGACGACGACTACTGTAAGGGCCAAAAACAAACAGCAGTTGATTCGGTGCAGTGAAGAATGTACCTATTTTACAACGTCTGACCTTCTGCCCACAGTGAGACTAACAATCGCCTTTCCACACGCCCTTTATATTTGCACAGATTATTTTGTGAGAAGCGACAAATGCAGTTGCTGGCATAATTCTGAATTGAAGTGTCTTGCAAATTTTCACAGTAATTCGAAGTATTTATGGTTCCGGTTTCGAAGATTAGGTTTTTCTCCGTCACGAATAGGCGAGGTACAACTACCACATAGAAGACTGAAAAAAACTGTCAAACGTTGACGTTAGAATTCCACAGAATATCTTTCCGTGCATCGGGAGAATGCCTGAACGCCAAAAAATACAGAATCACACACTGATGATGAATTCGTACTTCAACGATCAACCGTCAGCTTACTTCGCTCCTTTAGGCTGAGAAGGGAGGTTCTGATAAGCGTGGAGAATCACAAAATGATAAAAAAAATAGTTAGAGAGTCACACAGTCTGTGAGGCCTTAGTACCGCCGTATAACCATCGAGCCTACGTGTGCGTTTGTCTGTGATATCTGCCAATTCTGAAGGGCTACCACTTTGTTTGGATAGCTGAAATGGCTCGAGATGAACCAGAAGCCTGTTGAACCTAATGTATTCCAAACACCTGCATTCTCTTAGTCTTTTCGCCTGCAGCGCCACCATCTGTTAGAGGCGTATTGAATGATAGTATGCGAGTAGTAGACGATGGTTGAGACGGGCGGGGGGCGGAGGGCATGACATGACCGGGCGGACATCCGGGCGGCGGACTCTCGGGAAGGGCGGAGGGTAGACATGACCAGAACGAACTGAGAAAAACTTACATGTACTGTGACACAATCGACTTTCAAATATGCCACAAGCCTTGAGACATTAAGTCGATCATCGGTATTCAATTGCTGCAACGCGAGCTTCGAGTCACAACGTTCAAAGTGATCACCCAAAAAATACGTTCATGCCGTCCGCGACCAACCTGAAGCTTAAGCATTCCATCGATTCTGCTAACCGTCCTGCACATATTGAACAGTAAAGTCGATGAAAAAATTTTTAAAATTGAATTGAAAGAATAGCCTGTGGCAATAAAAGAGAAAGTTGGCAACCGTTGGACAACGACAGTGCTTCTTAAACTTTCATCAGGTGGCCATTTTTGGCGCCCATATTTTTATTAAGTCAATGATGCATGCCATCAGCCAGGAGTGGTGTGCTTTAAAGGTGGAGTCACAGCAGCTATATGGCGGCATAGTCTCCCGTTGACCTATCACGGTGTGGTACTCATTTATCAAGCTCGGAAGGAAGGTGAGTAATCTGATCGAGATGGAACCCGGGGCTTCTCGGTTTTGAGCTCGACACTCTACCGATCAAGTAACCCCGGTCAATGATGATAAAAAAGGAACTGAGAAGTGAAGCTATTTGTCTTTAAGTGTGTACGGGCACCCACTCTTACCTAAAAGCTTGTGTCTCTGGGTAAAAACAAAAAAATGAGGTGCTTCAAAGGACTGCTGGTGTGGCAGGATTCGACACAGTTCGGAACGTAGCTGTTCCAGACACCCACGATGAGTCCATCCTTCTCAAAGTCGAGAGATCCAATTAAGACGGTTTGGAAATGTGATGAAGATGACAAAACAAAGATTCGCAAGAAGCGCTATCCAGATAAAACCATAATGAAGGCAGCAGATGGCAGAATAAACTACTCGATTATACTCAACATTATGCATTGTAACGTCTTCGAAGGCAAATTATTTGGCCAGCATTTTTGGACCCCGTTGAGTAAACTGGAAAAGCCTAATAAAGAAGCCGTTCTAGTGATCCGAAGTGTACATCAAAAATGGATTAATCAAAAATTGAGAAAATCTGAGCACTGTAGAAAACGCAGACAATCAGCTTCGATGAACGCACATCCTTTCAGGTTGCGAAGTCAGACGTGTTAGGTAGTGTCTCAGGTATTTCGACTCCGTGCCAGCGTTCTGACTTCGGCAGAAGATAACGCGAGTCCCGAGAGCAGTCCTTTGGTATAACTTCCAAGGGTATTCCTGGCCGTCGTCAGGGTCTTCGGCCGGTCGGTATAGCAAATAGTAGCTGTTCTGCCGTCCATTCCAAAAACCATTTGCAACACGTACCCACCCGTTGCAGCTATAATCTGTTAATCTAGAGAAGCAACAGCTGTACATCCAGGTCCTCTCGGACATGCACTCATGACCATGTCGATGTGCGTGAGTCAAATGATCCGTCTCAGGATGCCAATTTCAGTCGCTTGTAGTTGAATCGAAACTTTTCAGACGTAGCGCACCACTGATCACCGTCGACTAGCATCTGGCTGAAGACTCACCTGAGCACAGGGCGTTTAGTCTTGAGACTCAGCTCTGTTCTACCCACAATGGTTCGGGCTAATTCTTGCAGAATGCCACTGGCAACTCCAATCAGCCGGTCGATCTCTTCCTCAAATTTTTCATCACCAGTAAACACGACCTCGGGGAATCTGAACTTCACTGCTTCTCTGTTAATCTGAAGATAGCAACGGGCAAGA